TCTCACAGTGAAGTTGAGTTCTGCTCAGCACAGAGCCTGTTTATGATTATTATCATATCAGGTTTTTATCTTCAGGGAGCTCCATGTTGGTCAAAGTGCCAGAGCAATGCTCCATGAGAGGATGTGCCGAGAAGCCTGAAGACGGTTTTATTAACAGATAAAACTCAGCTCAGCTGGATTTCACTCGGAGGATAAACTTTATATTTGTGGTATATTTTTTCCTCCTTTTGTTTTTCTTTTGGATCATATTCACTTAACGTCTCCCTCCACTCAAACACAAGTTTTCTTTTCCTCCCTGCAGTCTGTTTCCAGTTTCTTTCACCTGCTGAGAAAGAAACTCTGAGCACACCTTAAATCTCACTTCAGCACCTGGATGAACCTGCAGGAAGTTCTGTCTCTGTAGGGATCCATAATGCTGTCAGACACTTACAAAAGATTACACTGCAGCCCTGTTTCACTCAGTCCTGGACCAATTCCAAAAGTGTCGCCCCATTAGTCCCACAGACACCCTACACTAGGTTTGAGGTAGGCCCCAGTTAACCTTTAACAAGCCTGTCGAACAGACAAATATTTTACAAAGTCTTTAAGTACGAAAACATGTCTGTTTATTTAAAGGGTTTCTGTTGTGTCTGATAAGGGCGTGCGTTTCCATTTGTACCAACTACATTAATAAACCACTGGCAGTGAATCACGTTTCCACCCTGCTGCTGATGATCAGTGAGACCAGCTCCTTCTCTTCATGCTGAACTACACTGTGTTTCCACAGCAGGAACCTGTCAGCCTCACATCAAATGATTTATTATTTCTTTAATGACTTGTGTCGGCTGAAGCTGAGACTCCGGGTCTGATTCTCAGCGACAGAGACTGGACGTGTTCAGACCGGCCTCACGGCGGTTTATGAAAAAGCCTGCAGCTGAAACCACAAGATGAGCGTTCCTGTGGGAGGAGAAAGTCAACAGTGACTGCAACACCTGAGGGACAGGTAAGTCCGCTCCTCTGTTTGTATTCGGTCGGGTTACAGCGAGAGTTAAAATCAGCTCTGCTGCGTTCGACCGCCTCGCTGTTCATCTACTGAGTCTGTAACTCGCTTTAATCCCGACTGATCCTTTAACTGGATCAGGAGGAGCCGGCCGAGCAGCGGGGCGCCGCGCTGAGAGGGGAGATCCAGAGCAAGAGAGTGAAAGTGCTGCAGTGCTGCAGCATAAACACACATTTATATGTTTACAGTTTGATAATCACATTACAGATTCTCATCTTTCCATCTCATATGATAACCGACTCTCTTCAGGCTTTGGACTGTCGGCACCTCGGACTCTTGCATATTCTACAACACGACGATTAGTGAAGTAATCTGCAGATTTATACTAATATGAATGAAAATAATGTGTAGCTGCAGCATCAACCACGCAGCATCCCTGGATCCGATGCTAATCAACAGTTCAGAGCTGTTTGTCAGCACACGAGCAGCTGCTGCACGCAGAGAGGAGTGGGATGTAATAAAGAATCAGAACCTGAAATGCATCAATGTCTGGAGACCAACCCCCCGACCCCAAACACTGATCCAGTACTGAGTCCGGATCTACGCTGCTGAGGCTGAATGTGGTTTTGTGTTGAAGCTTCCTGTGAAGACATCAGGTCCACAGACAGCTGAGCTTCAGACCAGCGTCACACTGAGCCCGAGAGACAGGACGTAAATATCTAAACAGGTAAAAACAGGAAACAGTCACACAGTGAGACTCGCTGCTGCTGCTTTTTCTAACATCTAAAACTTCCACAGAAGACAAGCTGTGTTTAGTCTGTTCGGCTCAGTGGAGCCCAAACTCTGCATCAGCAGCCAAAAATATCATGTCCAAATAAGGCCTGGAGAAACACGCTGCACTCCACCGTGAACCTGAGGGCCGCTCTGAAGGCAACAACACAAAAGGAAATATTATTCTGAAATATTAAAGCTGTGCAGGGTCTGACCTCTGGTAGCCTCGGAGCCACGAGATCACGTGTTCGACGGGACGTCGTCCTGCTGTCGGTTACAGAGTAACCAGCAGTAATTAGCAAAGACACACAACAACACGGCAACAGGACGGAAGAAGACTGAAGCAAGTGAACGTGGATGTAAACAAATAAAAATCTGCAAACGTTTAATGAGGAAGAAAAATCCATCCAACAGGCTTCAGATACAAACTGAGCTCAGGTCAGAAACAAGAAGAAAGACTCCTGTAAACGATCAATATCTTTAAATCAGTGATGAAGGTAATCGACTGCACGGTGTTGTTAACGTCAGCTCTGAAATGATCCCTCACAGCTCGATACTGCTGTTACTGAACAAACCCTGAGAGAAGCAGATCCTCTGTGAACACCTGCTGCATCAGGAAGGAGTTTAAATCACCTGCTAACTCTGAGTAAAGACTGATAAACACCTTCAACTCTAACATGGTATCTGTTTAATCAGATGGTCTTTGTGTGCAGAGTAAATGTCTGCGAGTGTGTTAGTGTTTGCAGAGACGGCTGCAGCTGTTTCACTGGAAATTAACTTTGATTTTGATGCATCTGTTTCTGCAGAAAACAAAGTGAAAGTTCGAGTGTCAGCCAGCAACTCAGGAAAGTTTTCTTCATCCAGAGTCTGACTCAATAAACAGCTTCACCTGATTATTGTTGATGGAACACTTCATCCACCAACGAACACCACCTGCTCCACCTGGATCCACCTTCACCTTAAACTTTCTCTACACTTTGATATGAATTTAAAACTTCAATATTTATGAAACGCATCAGACGACACGCTGAGGATCGTCCTCCTCTGCTGCCTGCAGAGAATATGTGATTAAAAAGATGCCACGCCAGAGAAACTCCAAAGCGTTTCCTGATTTGGTTGGCTGCCCGAGCACAAAGGGCTCTCTGTGAGGAATTTCTTTCTCTTAAACAAACTCTTATCAGGCTGCAGAAAAGAATCGGGCTATAAAATGATTCATTAAACATCTCTGCTGTAATCATACTAAAACTATTTTATCTCATCCAGAGTCAGACGCAGAAACAAGTCAGTATTTCTTTGTCTGCCGCACATTCTTCAGACAAAACATGCAACTGTTGATCATTATAGAGGCTAAATACTCAGAGTTATTTGACTTCTTAAACCTAAAATAGCTGCATGCCTTCTGCACATTCTCAGGAGTTGAAACTGACTGAAATAGTGGAATGAGTCTATTTGCAGGTTTTGGTCTCCAGAAAAAATGCCGTGGTCGTGACCTCAGGAGCGGCTACAGTCTGAGCTCTGCTGTGTTATATCATCCGCATCGTGTAATCACATCTGAGTCTGAGGCCTCGGCCAGCCACTAATGATTCAAACCAGCAACAGACGGGAACAAACCCACAGAGAAGGACCCAGACGGGGAGGCGAAAACAAATCAGCAGCAAAATAAAACGAAGCAACAGAAGCTCAGCTGGGAAATCCTCCTCTTCTCCTTCTCTCTGAGAGCAACACGTTCAGACTGATTATAAATGTGAAGCCAGTTAGCTTAGCTTAGCATAAAGACTGGAAACAGGGAGGTTCTGTGCACGACTACTTACACTTTGGTTTGTGTGCAGATTAAACAAAGCAGGTGTAAAGTGTTTATCAGGGAGCTTCAGAGCTGCTGCTAGGTGGATTCTGAGCCAAGCTAGCAGTTTCCCCCTGTTTCCTCGCATGATGCTAAGCTAACCTGACCAGCTGCAGTTTCACATTTAGTGTGGAGACATGAGAGAGGAATCAATCTGACCATCTACATCTCAGCAAGGAGGAGAAGAAGAGGGTTTCACTACACATACTGCTGTTTAAAGCTTCAGGCCCTGCGTCGTAACAGGGTCAAATCTTCTCAGGTTGAAGTCACTTAAAGAACAGAAAGCTGCGGCGAGCCCGAGGCTGACCCGCCCGCTAACAGCGATGACATCATCTCACCAGGCAAGGCTCCGGTGCTTCACATCACATTACAGCGTCCGAGACGTACAGTAAAAGCAGGTCAGGTTGCCATGACAACCGCATCAGGAGCTGCAGAGGATTATCTCAGTCTCCCTGGGGGGGTCACGCCTGTACCCCCCCCCCTCCCGGACACTGACTGAGCTTCCCGGCAGAAGAACTCATCCTCTGCATCTTTCATGATCAGGGCGTAACTCGGTCCGATCGATCAGCGCTGCACAAGATCATTTAATTTAACTGAGTGTTTAGATCATGTGACCTATAGATACACCTTCCTTTTTAAAAACGACTTTTTTACTAAATACAAACAGCTGTTTGATCGATTAGTTGATAAACAGACAATTAAAAGCAACGATTTTGATAATAATTTAACCTTTGAAATCATTTTCAAGCAAACATTCTTCAAGTACGCTTCTTAAAAGAGAGGATTTGATGCTTTTCTGTGTCTTACATCTTATAAAAGTAAATATCTGGGTTTGAGAGCAAAATAATAAATATATAGATTCGACTTTAGAGGTTAGAGAGCCTAAATGTTTCTCCTCAGGCTGTGGGACATTATAACAGACTCCTTTTTCACATTTAATAGACAAAATAACTGGCAGATTAATCGAGAATAATTAGCAGCTGCTTAGCATCTATAGGTCACGTGATGTAAAGAAACAGGCTGATGAAGGACAGAGCGCTGAAGAGTCCTGCTGAGGTGAACACACTGATGTGCCGTTTGATGTGAGGAATCAAAGCTCTCTTACCTGGAAAGGCGTGTGGGCTGGACGACCCTCTCTTCAGGCACTTGGAGCAGAGGATATGTACAGAGTAGTGCAGGCCGGGCCACTCCTGCAGCAGCACGTTCAGCTCCTCCACCAGCGGAGTGACCGCCTGCCACGCGGTCCAGATGTTGGGCAGCGAGGCCTGGCTGGCGATGGACAGAGTCTCTGACTGCAGCTTCCCTTTGGAGGGCCGGTGGCTGATCACCACGGGGACTTTACCTCGGTAGGCGAAGATCTGGTGCCTGCCGTCCGACCTCTGCACCACGTGGCTGTTTATCTGCACGCTGAAGCGTGCGAACAGTCCGGGAGGAAACAGGAAAGGGAAGCTGTACTGGATGTGCAGCTGCTCCACAGAGAAGAAGTGACACAGAGGCAGAGAGCCGCCGCCGCCGCCACCACCAGCCGAGGCCTCCGCCCGGGGCTCCTCGCTGCTGACGTAGCTGGGGAACTTGTACCACACTGTGGCCCCGTTCAGAGGCTTGCTGCGGGGTTTGTTGATGCAGTAGCAGACCCCCATCTTCTCCAGGAGCTCCATGATGAGGTGCAGGTCCTGCTGGGTCTGGATGAGCGGCCTGAGGAGCAGGCGGATGACGTTGGAGGGCAAAAGGCCGTGTTGGAGGAAGCCCTCCACATGGTGTTGCAGGTGGGTCACCCTGAGGTTCTCTCCCTTCTCGTCCTCTATAACCAGGCTCACCCTCCCCTTGTCCCCCCTCTCCCCCTCAGAGAGCAGTCTGTCCAGCAGTGTGGACTCGTCCCTCTGGAAGAAGACATTGAGAATTGCAATGAATCGTGGAAGATTGTGAAAAACGTACTCCTTCAGGGTGATGCTGTCCTCAAAGTAGAGCAGCTTCCCGCTCTCGTGCAGGTAGGATAAGGCGCTCTGCAGTCGGTCCTCCGTGAGCCCCGCCTGGAGGCCCAGACGGGCCGAGTCCCACCACGAGAGCCACAGGTCTTTGGGCTTAAAGTGCAACTCCTCCAGCATCTGCCAGGACTTTGGCAGCACACGGTGCAGGTTGGGGAAGATGTCCCTGTGGTCGGCGACGGACATGAGCTTCTCCCTCAGCCTCTGGATGTTCCTCTGGGTCTCCGTGCAGCTGACGCTCAGCACAGGAGACAGGATCTGCAGCCGGTGGTTCAGCATGTACTGCAGCTGGGCCTTCCTCCGCCTCAGGTTCCTGTCAGAGACCCCGTAGAAGAGGACGTGAGGGCTGGAGCAGCGGACGCTGTAGCCCTGCTCCAGCGCCTGGTCCACCTGCAGAGCCAGGCTCCTCAGACTCTGGGTGTCCCTCTTCTCCTGCAGGCCGATCTGTCTGTGAATGTCCAGACTCTTCTCCTCCACCTCCACCTCTCCACACAGGTCAGCGTGCGTGCCCACCAAGCACACGACGGCGTGGGGTACTTTGGCACTGAGGAGGTGGAGGAAATACCCGACGTGGGCGTAAAAGTTCTTGGGCGAATACGCTTTGAGATTCACAACGAGAATGTAGAGAGCACCGGGGGAGAGAAAAAAGGGTTTGATGAGGTCGTAGTTTTGCTTCCCTGACAAATCATACACCAGAAATGTAAGACAGCGATCGGCGTCTGCCACCCAGTTAGTGACTTCGATTCCTTTGTTTCCCTGGATTTCTTTAACGTCCTGCTGCCTGCTCACCACGCTCTGCCTGAGGCGTGTTTTCCCGGCGTTCTTCATCCCCATCAGAACCAGTTTCAGCCGCGGCTTGACGGCGAGCTGCGAGTGTGCGAGCTCCTTCTGATAGGCTGCAATGTAAGGGATGCCCTTCATACACACCTCGTACGGAGGCTGGATGAGAGGGTTATCCTTCACCTTCCAAATGTTCACTTTGGACAGCTTCCCAAAATTATCTGGAAGTATGGCTATTTGGTTACCCTGTAAAACGAGTTCCTCCAGCTGCTGCAGCTCCACGATCGAGTCCGGCAGGTACGTGATGTTGTTGTTGTCCAGCCAAAGGTTGGCCAGCTTCACCAGCTGCCCTATCTCCTCTGGAATATGAATCAGTTTATTCCTGCTCAGGTAAATTTCCTCTAGCCCTGTGATGCTTAAAATAACCTGGGGGAAGTCCTCAAAGTCGTTAGAGGACAGATTGATCATTTTGAGTCTTTGCAGATGACCAAAAGCAGCAGGCAGCCCTGTGAGGTTGTTCCCGTCCAGCATCAGGCTCTCCAGGTTGTGCAGGTGACAGAAGGTGTCGGGTAACGTGGACATGTGGAGACTACTGAGCCAGAGGATTTTGACAGGCTGCAGCTTCATGATGTCTGCTGGTAACGCCTCGAACTTGTTCCCAGAGCAGTCGAGTTCTTCCAGCTCGCTGAGGGCCAGGATCTCAGGAGGGAACTGGTTCAGCTTGTTGTGATCTGCATCCAGAGTCCGCAGCTTGGTGAGGCTGCAGAACGATCTGGGGAAATCGTGCAGCTCGTTGAAGCTGATGTCAAGTTCCTCCAAAAACTGAAGCGCTCCAATCTGAGCCGGCAGATTCTGGATCTTGTTGTGACTGATGCACAGCTTCTTCAGCCCCTTCAGCTGACCCACGCCCTCAGAGAGGCTCCGCAGGCAGTTGTGGCTCATGTCGAGCTCCACCAGCTGCCCCAGCTCAAACACCACCCGGGGAACAGCTGAGAACTTGTTCCTGCGGAGGACAAGGATGCGCAGGTTGTTGAGGGTGGATCCCAGCCCGTCTGGCAGGTCCTGAAGGGAGTTGTTGCCCAGATTGAGCACCTCTATCTCGGCGATATCCTCCGGCAGTATGATCTGGTTGTCTTTGGAGCAGAGGGTGAGCTGGCGCAGGTTGCTCCGCAGCTTCCTGGAGCGCAGGGCGGCATCCCTCCACAACCTGGCCGTTTTCAGATTGTTCTCCTTGTCCTCCATGGCGTTGCAGGACCCCTCCTCCTCCTCCTCCTCCTCCTCCTTGTTTTCATTGAGAGTTTTCATGGGGACTGAGCGGGCAGCATGGTGGCCGGTGTGCCTCAGAAATCAGCGCGCTCCTGAACAACAAACGCTCCGTCGGAGAGGAGAGACCAGGCAGTTTATGTCGGGAAATAATCGAGCTTTCGGACGGCAGCAGCAGCAGGAGGAGCGTCTGTGGCCGCGGAGGCATCCTTTTCTCCTGCGCCACTCAGCACACAATGAGAACAGCCCGCCGCGGATACAGCTCCGGGTTTCATCCCGACTCCGAGGTCCGGTGCCGCGGGTGCGCTCTCTCCCTCACGGGCGTCCTCATCTCCACAACACGCCGTCCTCCGGGTCTCTCTCCCCGGGCGTATCTCTGTGTTTCTGGGGGCTTTCCGAGCCGCTGGGTCTCTTCCTGGGAGCGGGGAGTGGAAGTGAGGCAGCAGAGGCTCACACTGCGTCAGATCTCTGAGCCCTCCTCCTCCCTCTCCCCTCCCTCTCTCCTCCCTCCTGCAGGGTGGAGAGGAGGAGGAGGAGGAGGAGGAGGGAAAGTGAGTGTCCTCATTTGGTTGAAATATCCTCAAATCAGCACCGCAATCCAGGAGTAAATGTAAAAAACACAGTTATGGTTTTAAAAGAAACAGAGTCCCAAATATAATATTAAATAGCCTAAATGGACAAAACATCAGATAAATGGCTGGCAGTAATTTTAAAGGTTGTCTTGATGTTATTTACCTGCTGAAGAAGGAAATAGTGAATCTGAAATCGCTGTTGGTGCACAGTCAGCTCATTCTCCTGTTGTTCTGCACACAGGTCGACGTGGATCAGGACTCTGTCTCCATCTACAGGACTGTTTCATGTATGCAGCCCAACATCACAACCCTCTTCACTTTCTTTACATTCAGTCCGTCCTCTGTCCTCAGAGCCTCTAAGAGCGAGCAGAAATGTTAGAAAGATCAGCAGACAGACAGGAGACAGAGAAGACAGGGACATCTGGAGAAACACAAGGACAATGTAGGCAGAAGAACAGGATCCGCTTTGAGCTGAGACACAAATAAAATCATGTCTCCCAGTCAGGTTCAGCCTCCTGTTGAAACTTATTTCTTATAGACAGTTTGTTTCTCTGAAGGAGATGGAGCAGCTGAACACTGGTCATTGTTCTGTTTATAAAGCTGCATTCTGCTGCGTCTTGACCAGGTCTCTCTTACAAAAGAGATTTTAATCCTAGTGAGACTCACCTGGTCAAATAAAGGTCAAATAAAATAATCACAGAGGATCACTCTGATCTTCTCTGTAATAATGTGTTCAGCAACATGCAGAATATTAAAACTCTCACAACCTTTTTAAACATAAACGTTTAATAATCTGGTGCAAGAAGTGATTTTCTGTTTTAATGGACTAATGTTTTAGTCCTCAGGTGTCGCAGTTTAATAAGAGCAGGTGTTCAGAGAGGGAGAGATTTTACTGTTTCACATTAAGAAATATCTTAAACTACATTTTAAATGGAACGTACTGTGAACTTTTCACATGTGAAATGTGTTTAACGCAGTATTCATTCACTGTAACTGAGTACATCTACTCAAGGTACTTGTACTTTACTTATATATCCAAATGATGCTGCTTTAGCCAAGGCAAGTTTGATGTACAGCCTTTTTAAAAAAGTGCTCTACATAAAAGATAAAGTAGCCAAACAAGGAAATAAAAACAAGATGTGGATCTAAAGCCTCACACTTGATTTAAAAGAACCGAGCTGCAGGTTTCTGGGAGTTTGTTCAGATACACAGAATAAAAACACCTGAAACAGGATCAACTTACAGGTTTACAGGTGTTTTCAGCTTCGTTGTTGACTAGACCAATCAGACAGAAGCGTGTGTTTATAAGAATAATAAAGTAGATTACCCCACAATAAAACCACCTGGTTCCACACGACGATAACGTTTGTGTTTACAAAGCTTTACCTTGTGTGCACAAAGTAAAATCTTGTGGCGGCTCCATAGTTTCTCCTTCTGCAGAGTGAGTACTTTTACTTTTGATGCTTTAAGTACATTTTGCTCACATGTTGACTGCAGGACTTTTCCCTGTAACAGAGTATTTGTACACTGGTGTCGTTAGTTTTCACCTCTCAGAAACAACCTTCTGTAGATCAGGACGTTAGAGACACAGAGCTGTGTGTGTCAGTTTGTTCATTTCACTTTCTAAACATGAAAATCAGTTTAACTGTCTTGTTATTTCCTTCTGCCTGAGTGTAAAGCGCTCCCTGCTGGCCTCTCTCCAGGAATCTTGTTCCATGAGTGAGTCTGTTTCACCTGCAGGACAAACACAAACAGAGCCGGCTGAAGGACGGTCCAGATCCATGTTATCGTGCGATCGCCCCACATTCTCAGGATCATGTGAGACGTGCAGGTTAAATATACACAGCTGCTGACGTGACACACAGCCAGTGGATAATAACAGCACAGCCCCGTCCTGTTGGAAGAGATCAACAGCTCGCAGCTCGCAGGACATGAACCTTCTTCCTTTGTGCGATCGTGATGCCTCATGAAAACTAACAGCTTTGGTCATTTTTGTTACTCAGCTGAGATTTCTGTATTTTTAGTTTCCTCAGAACTCATCGATTCAAAGTGGGCGGGATTCCCATGCTTCTGTGCACCAATCAGGATTAAGACGTAGTGATGACAGCAGTTCATCACTCCCATCTGATGAATCCTGTTTAAACTCACATCAAAGCTGCACGTGGAAGAATATTGAAAGTTAAACTATCTGAAAAGCGAGGTGTTTGGAGAGATAATCCACACCACACACGGTTTTATTTTTTTTACAAACACAAACACACTTTTACTCTTTTATTTACTTTATTTTTAATATACATATATATTTATTATTATTTTTTAACACACACACACACTTTCACTATTTTATTTACTTTATTTTTAATATACATATATATTTATTATTATTTTATTTTTTAACACACACACACACTTTTACTCTTTTATTTACTTTATTTTTAATATACATATATATATTATTATTATTTAACACACACACACACACTTTTACTCTTTTATTTACTTTATTTTTAATATACATATATATATTATTATTATTTTTTTTAACACACACACACACTTTTACTCTTTTATTTACTTGTTGAATGAACTGTATGAACTGAATTGTTTTTTGGAATTTATTTGTAGCTTTGACAATATTGTTGTTTTACATTCATGCTAATAAAGCTGAATTGAACTGATGACATCATGAAACCCTCCTGGACTCCCTGAGCTGACCGGAGCCTCCTCTCAGAGGTCAGAGGTCAAAGAAGAAACACAGAGAGCCCGACCACGTGAAGAGTTTTATTATCCGCTCTAACAGGGACAGGAAGCTAAAAGTCTGATGATCGACGTGTTCCTGTTGGACCTTTAGACTGAAGGGGTGGAGAGATTTGAGCTCGCAGTCTTTAATGCCAGCAGGTTTCACCCTGAGATTATCTGCCAGGCCACAGCAGCAGACTGGGACCCTGCACACAGTCTGGTCTATGAAGAACCAGATCTTCTCTGGTTGAAGCAGGAGAGGTTCTGAGCTCCAGCTGAGGAACGTTTGTTTTCAGATGTGAGAAAATGAATAAAATCTTCCTCCAACATACAGCGAGTCATTTTATAGACCTTATGAACTCTTTCAAATAACTACAAACAAAATACATATTCTGAAAGCTTCAATGTCTTTATTTCTTTCACGTATTACAGCTACATTTTTATTTTCTCCATATAAACTTGCTCCTTAGAGACGCTGCACCTCCAGCTGAATGTTACTGAACTTTCCCCTCTAGAATCAGAGTTGAGAATAAATCTCTATTAGAAATTGTAAGTTTGAGTTTCCTGAAGTAAACGTGCTGAAATGTTCCTTTGTTGACTCAAAATCTGATCCCGTTTGTTCAAGTGAGAGAAGTTCTTTGTTTATCTCAACCTGCAAATAAACAAAACTCAAACTCGAGTTATAAAAAATATATAATTTTATTGTCCTTTTAATATTTTTTAACCCATTGGTCAGACAGCAGACGGTTTTACATCACAATTAAACATTTAATGACAGAACAACTTAAAAGATTTGACTTTATTGAGCAGCATTTCTTAAATTAACTTAACACTGATGATCACTTCACAACTACCCACTCACACACTGAGCACGTGCAAACAGAGACGCTCTGAGTGACAAACTGCTTCACTGAACACCACGAACACGTGCACGTTCTGTGTTCTCCTGTGCAAACACAGCCAACCAGTAAAACCAGTCCGCTTCTTTAAAAGGATAATTAAAGTTACATGAATTAGACATTTTATTCCAACCGGACACAAAGTTAAAATCTGTCGTACGTGACGTTGTGTAACTCCGTGTGTAGTTTCTGCATTATTGTGAAAGTAGATAAACTTCAGCTGTGTCACGTTGAGAAACCGTCTGAAGCAACAGCTCCTGTGAAATATTAAACCATCGGCCGAGCGGCGCCCGGCTGAAACCCCGTGTCCACGAGTCGATCGGCAGAAAATTCATCTGCGACTGTTTGATGATCCGAGAGGTTTCTGTGAGGAACCCGGAGTAAAAACCAGTCAGGTCAGATCTGTGGTTCATGTCCGCAGGTTTGTGACGTGCAACACGACTTTTAATCAGAAGCTCAAGGTTTAAAAAAAAAAAAAAAAAAAAGACCCCCCCCAGAACACGCCTGCTTCCTGACTTCCTGTTCAGTAGTACGGCCCGAGGTTCTCGTATCCCGCGTAACTCGGCCAGTCAGGGAAGAGCCCGTGAGAACAGGTGGGGCTGCCGTAACGCTCAAAGTGAATCTCAGAGTGAAAGGAGTCCAGGTGGCGGTCCCTCTTCATGGAGGACCGGACGATGCCGTAGTTGTCCCCCTGGTTGCTGTCCCAGTACTCGCGTCCCTCCACCTCGTAACAGACGGCGAACTCGACGCGCTCGTGAGGCCTCAGCTCCTCCGGCAGAGACACCTGGAAGGAGAAGGTGTCGCTGTAGGAGCTGGGATACGTGTCCTTCATGTACACACAGTCCACGTCCCCGTGGGTCCGCCAGCTGTCGAAGGTGACGCGCACCTTCACGGACTTCTCGAAGGACACGTTTTTGACCTTGACGGTTCCCGCCAAGACCTTCTCCTTCAGCACGCAGTGCTCCAGGCTGACGTAGTTCCTCTCCAGGGTCTGCCGAAAGCGCAGGTAGTCCGAGGAGGGCTGAGCGAAGTCCAGCACCAGACTGTCCTCCTCAGCCCTCAGAGAGAGCGCGGAGCTGAGCATGTCCTGGATGTTCAGGGGGATGTCGATGGGGTCGCTGAACTCGGAGAAGACCTTCACCTTGGTCAGGGACAGGCCTCTGTGGTCGGCGAACGTCACCTGCTTCTTGGCTTTTCCCGAGTCCTTCATGGACGGCCTCGCGTCCTCGGCCTCCGTCTGATCCACGCGGTGCGAGTGCTGGAACCTCAGGCAGGAGCTCAGAGCGGGTTTGCGTGCTTTGGGAGACGTCCTGTAGACAAACTCCTCTTTGGACAGGAACAGAGGCAACGCCATGTCGATCGGCATGGTGAGTCAGGAGGGAACAGCAGAGGACGCTGAGGGAGAGAGAGCAGAGACAGGAATCAGCTGGTTCAACAGACAGAAGGTCAGTAAAACCGACAGTAAGATGAAAATATGAAACCCAGCCAACAAAATGAAGCCGCTCCAGAAGAGCCAAAGAGCAGGACTCTCCTCACTGAGGAACTGGATCGGTACTCGGGATCTACACAGGTATCAGGACTGGAGAAGTTGGACGTAAAGGCTCAGGGCTGCTACAGACTGTATCACAGGAGCGTTTCTGTCACATAGAGCTTCAGCCACAGACCGACTCAGAGCCTGAGGACCAGGTCCAGAGGGGAAACTAGTCATGGACTCAAAGTGCAGAGAAGTAGCCGTCCTTACAGACAATAAAGACACAACAGCTGAAGACGTGCACGTACACTCAAAGATTAAAACAAACAAAAAGGGGAACAGGAAGAGGAACAGGGCCACCTGGTGCTCAGGTGGTGTTCAGCCGTGGAACTAGAGAAAATTAAACAAAATATGTTCTAAAAAACCAAACAAACTCAGGACCAGGATCAAATAATGTAGTCTACTCTAAAGGGGGGCGGGGCTGACGAGGCTGCAGACAAAAGGATCAGGAGGATAATCCTGAAAACCAAAACAGACCAGATCCTCACATTCAGGATTTATAATGTTCCTGAACTTTCACATCCCAACTGCTTCAATTCAAAGCCGCCAAACAGAACTGGACCCAGACCACCTGAGGAGCCGGGTCTCCAGCTGGACTCACCACACATAACCCCACCTCTCTCTCTCTCCTCTCTCTCTCGGCCGGACAGACCAGGACAAACCGGGACCTCTGCCGACCCGTTAGACCGACCCGGTTCTCCTACAGACCCCAGCGGCACCAGGTGACATCACGTAAACAACAACAACAAGTCACAATAATGAGAGAAACGGAAGCTTCACACCGAGTCCGGATGAAGGTCGAATGCTGCGTTCCAGGCAACTCGGAAATTTCAGACTGAATGAACTCACAACAGTGGCAGCTCCCATGGAGCCACATTTAACATAAACTAAAGGCGACATAAAGTATATTTAAATTAAAATGATTCATGCGGTCATGTAGTAAAACCTGCCCTGCGTGATCAGGCAGCTGATCACAGTAAAGACTTCTTCTCTTCACTAGAGTGTTAAAAGCCACTTCAGTCACATAGAACTGATTAGCAGGAGGGCAGAGCTGAGGGTGCATCTGGGTGCGCACCTGACAGAGACTTTGTGACGGTCAGCCATGTGTTCACTGTCGGCGTCACGCACCGCCACGCACCAGGAAAACTCCCAGCGGGCTGAAACACACAGTGGCGCCTCCGGGTAAACGGTCCACCTACAACCCGGATCCCTCGGGATCCTGGAGGGTCCTGCAGTACTCTCTACACAGGTGAAGCCACTGTAAGACATCTCGGCAGGGTCCTGGTATCTGTGCACGCGCGGCCTCCACACACCGCTGTGACAGGTCACGCAGCCCCGCAAATTCATATCGATATGCAGTTGGCCCAGATGTTCCAAGCAGAAACCAGGACCTGCAGAACCCGAACCCGCACCGCCGCCTCCGAACCCGGGCGCAGCGGCGTCCACCGTGCAGGACTCACCTGGCGCAGAGACACCTGGAGCAGCAACCTTCGACGTGACGCAGCGGTTCTACAACGCTCGCGGCGGATCCACCGTGACGCATCCAAGCTTTGTTCTGACAGCCGTGGCCGCGCGCTCCTCTCCTCTCATCCCCCCAGAAAACTGTTGCACATAATCCGCGCGTGGCCTCTGTGGACCTTAAAGGCCCACAAACGGTTCACGTGAACACTTGGACGCAGCCAATCAGAGAGAGCCGTGAGGGAGTGATCGACGTGGGGCACGCAGCGTCGTCGTGTCCGAGGTGAACCCTATGGATGAACCCCCTGGGGAGTCAACCCCCCTCCGCTGCGGGGGACATGTGTCCTCAGTGTTTGAGTCAAAAGAAGCTTTCCAGCCCGATCACGTGTCTTATTTTCACCCCGAATTCTGAGATAGAAAATCAATTAATCAATTACATTAATTTGAGTCTGATTTAAAGTGGAACTTTTGTATCTTTCAAACAATTGCTGCTTTTATGAATGGAGTCTGGTGGCGTTGAACAGAGCGACACAGCAACTGCTCCTGGTTAAACAAAAAGGATCTCAGTCTTTAAAAGAAGGTCTCTCTCGGCAGAGATCCTTTCTATAATGCTGATAAGAACAAAACAAACCCTTTAGTGGACTCACTTTATATCAGCACACTCGCTCAACACTGGACCAGTTTCAAAAAATGTTGCCCCATTTCGTCACATGGGAAAATAAGGTCCAGAATTATTACATTTTTACTTATAATGCCATCGGCTAATTTTGATTTAGTAACTCTAAATTATGAAATACGGATAAAAAAAAATCACTTTCAGCAACAACAAACTATCTCATTTCAACTTTGATTTCTACTAATAATTCTAAACAAACACGTGACTTATTTCATTTTCAATTCTCAAACCTACTTTTGACTTTATATCTTTGTATTTTTATTTCCATCATGCGTAACTTTTACAGCATGCTTGTCTCTTCCTTCCGGCCTCCATTGTATCAACTTTTCGACATGAATGAATGAATGAATGAATGAATGAATGAATGAACGGCCGGTGGCAGAGCAGACTGGAGCTGCTGCAGAGTGTGTGTTTTCACTATCAGGACCAGCTGCTGGGCCACTACAGCTTCTATTATTACTTTTTCCTGCCATCTCACATTTCAGATTCCAGCCTCTCCACACTTGCATCTGAAGAGGAACCTGACCCAGTTCAGCTGAGAGACCCGGTAAGAAAGAAAAAAGAAAGGGGACTCAGCATGATGTGACCTCGGGTTTCCTGCTCCGAGCACCCGTATGAATGATTTACATGTAGTTTCAGGTCAGCGTGGAGAGAGGGCAGTCAAAGGTTGTGAATCCAAGTGAATTTAAAATGTTTAGTAGGTGAATTTGTGCAACAGAACACCGGGGGATGGTTATCGAACCCCTCCAGCATCAAAACAGAATTTAAAGAATTAACTGATTTAAGCTGCAGATATTTAAAGGGGTAATCTTTTAGATGAAGCTCTACGATTGGATGTTTGTTAGAGAAGTGCACCCTAGGAGTCGTAGTTGACTCCTCTCCTTCAGGAGTCCGATACGGGGGCAACTCCTACAATCAAGGCCGCCGCAGGATCAGCAAATGTTTTAAAAGGTACTCAGTTTAATCCATAGTGTCTTCGTAGTTCTGCAGGGCCCCTGAGGTTGATCTGCAGGGCCCCTGAGGTTGAGCTGCAGGGCCCCTGAGGTTGATCTGCAGGGCCCCTGAGGTTGACTTTTTCCTGAAAGCGTCTTCTCGGGGGCTTTGGGTCAGACAGAAGAGATAACACCCTGAGCTGACCGCAGCCTGCTCTCAGAGGTCAGAGGTCAAAGATAACCTAATCCCAGCCCTTTAAATACAGAGAGCCCCGACCATGTGACGCCTCGTGTGCTCTAACAGCGACCGGAAGCTGAAAGTTTGTTGTTTGGCTGCAGAGTTCAGGACCAGCTGCAGCAGAACGAGGTGCGTACGACAAAATAAAAGCATGGAACCTTTAGACTGAAGGGGTGGACAGATGTGAGCGTCTTTAATCCCAACATGTTTCACCCTGAGATTATCTGCCAGGCTGTGTGACATCAGGGAAGCAGACTGAGACCCTGCACACAGTCCAGTCTACGTGGAACCAGATCTTCTCTTGTTGAAGCAGGAGAGGTTCGAAGCTCCAGCTCTGTCTGTGAGAACGTGAGGGAGGCTTTCACTTCCTGAAGGATCTCCTCCCACAAGCAAAGTGCCCTTAAAGCTGAAAGCTGAAAGATGGCAGTGAGAGCGCTGAGAAATACACAACAACTGACCTCTGATCAGTCGTCTTTCCCAGGATCTGGGTTTGTGGGTCTTAAAGACTGTAAGCTAACCTGGTTTCTGAAGTCCTCCTCCCTCAATCTGACACCGTGACGCAGTTCAGTTTTCAAACATGTTATGTTTCCTTTGCTACCAAGGTTATGTCTACAGCGCCTGTTGTTGTGGAGATGTAATCTATGTAATCTGGGACAGGCACCTCAGCCGGGGGCCCAGAGGAAACAATCGCCCCCTTTGGACATTTAATTTAATAAACAGTTAAATGATTAATTAATGTGGCTTTCTGTTACAGACAGCCGGAGCACAGTTTGTAGGAGGGAAAACAAACAGACGAAGACATTTTTAATAATTAATTTCAGGCATTAACATATTTCTTCTTAGCTGACCCACCTGCTGCAGCACATCCACGAATCCTGTGTTTTTTCTAATTGTTGCATCAGTTCTAGTGTTGTAGAACTCGGACATTGAGGAAGTTTTATTTCAGGACCAGTCAAGACCAGAACTTTGGGAATATCAATAAATTGCTTTTGCATCGTCTGATTTATTTGTTAACATCCAAACTTTGATTGGATGTAAAAGTTTTTTCCTCAAATGGAACCAATAATGTGTTGTTACCGTTAACGAGCAGTGTTGAATAAAGACGCTTACGTTGATTTCAGCTCTTAGTGTTTGTATGTGGGTGTTTTTAATGGGAATGTGGATCTTTCAGATCAGTTTGAAAAGCACCTCTGATCTAGTTCCACATTTTATTGTGTGTCATGTAATGTGGGGAACTGGTCTTGGTCCACACGTCTACACTCAGGACGATTTATTGAAACAGAGGACAGGAGGTGGTTCAGGATGAGTGTTTATGAGATTATAAAGTTGTGTAATCTCTGAAGGTTTGTTCAGTAACTAAATGTTTGGACTGTGGGAACAGTTAGCGGCCCGATGATGACCTGACGGCCTCCGAGTCCCACAGGGTTCAGATCCTGAGAGACCGCAGTCCCACATGTATTTTGGTCGTCGGCCACTGAGATATTTATAGACGAGCAGCAGCCGTTTGCAGAGCTGCCGTGGTGCCTTCAGGTGTCTTGGTTTCTCAGCAGATTCCTGAAGTTGTCTTTTAATTTCCCCAGCGGACAGTAAATGAAGTGACGTGGACAGAAAGACCCGTAGCAGCATGACACCAAGTTATGTAACAGCTCTGATGGGTAAGAGGCGTATAAATATAAAAAGGCTTTGGACTCTGTTGACCTGCAAATCATTTGGAGCAAAGTCAGGAAATAATCTGATTGAGTAAATATTTGTTCAGGAGCAAAACCAAACAATGAAGTTCAGCAGGAGAAAGTTCAGGTGTGATAAGGCCTGCGTCCCTGACTGAGCCGCCTCATGTTTGACCTGAAAATAGGTCTTTCCTCATGAAACCAGGCGGCTCTGTGGTGAAAGCGTCCCGGCAGCAGTCAAACATTAATCTCAGGTTAATCTCTGTCGTGTTTACCTCATCTGCGCCTTCTGAAATACTGACCGATTGAGCTTCTAACGCCAGCAGATACAGAAATCCAGCAGTCAGAGGTGCTGTGTGCAGATCTCTATTACTGTAATGATGATAAAGAGGACACATTCAGATCAGGCAGCACGTCGTCAGACCTGAACGACAAAACAACATGTGACTGTTTTGATCCAGAGACCAGACCTCTGACATCAGGACACCTTCAGGTTCACTCACCTTCCATCTAACGGACACAACTGAAGGACTTCAGCTTCAGAATATGAATAATCTGGTTTTACATTTCTCTCAGTAGACAAACTACAGTGTACAAAAAAAGAAAAACTCACAACCGTAAACAAAAACAACAACATTTTTAGACAGCAAGACAAGAACATCAAAAATATTAGATTATATATAGTATAATATTTCTGTGCAGTAATTGTGCACATTTATGTGTACATTACTCACAACAGTCACTTTTACAGGCAGGCAGGGCTGCAGCTAACAGTTTTATTGTTAATTAATCTGTTTATTAATTCAAAACTTAATCAATTAGTGCTGATCAGCGTGTAGGCTGTGCAGTATTCACCTCTGAGGGATTTGTGGAAGTATAAAGCAGCATTAAATGGTCCCTCAAGTCAGAAACAGCTTTATTGCCAAGTACTTTAGTTTTAGTACTTTAAATGTGTACATATGTGAGTGCAGTACTTGGGTAAATGTACTGACTGTATATCCAGAATATGAACCAGTGGACTGGTGATGTATGTTTGATCCTGCGGGGGGCGGCAGCGGTTGAAACTGCCGAGAGAAGAAGCAGGTCTGCAGTACACATCATCAGCACGTCCTTCTCTGCTGGAGGTTAATGTACAAACGCTCCAGTGAGGAATAACAGAGGAGTGGAGATCTAAAGGGCTTTGTGTTCTGTTAAATATGGAGCGATTAAAGCCTTTCAGACCTTTGGCTAATAAAAGATTCTGTCCTCAGAGGCTGCTCCTGGGCTGAGGCAGCTTTGCTAACAAAACAACTGTACGTGGACTAAACTCTGAACCATTTCTCTTTGCTTTCACTCAAAATGCATTCAGTGACCACTTTCTCCAGAATCCATGAACTCTGCTTTTAAACCACCTGCAAAACATTAGATATCTGCAGCACTGAGTCCAAAACTGTTAAAGACACATTCAGAACAGAGTGATGGCAAATGTCCTGCATTTCTGCAGCAAGCAGACTGGAATATATAGAACATCTTAGCAGAATATTTACATACATGTCATGTTTACATAAACTGGAAACAAGTGAAATAAAACTGTATTGCAGCACTGAGGGTAGTGAAGCAGATTTCTGATGTTTTCTTGTCAGATATATTTTAGTGCAGTCAGTACAGTGAAAATATTTTGTTCTTCTATAATGAAATCAAGGTGGTGGGGACATGATGATACACTCAGCTCACAAGATGCACAATAGCAGGGTCGGGTTTATTTCTAGGCTTTAAAGGGAAACACAAAATTCAGGTGGCAATTCAAAATATAATGAAATAATCAGCTTTTTAGCTTGAGTCACTTTTTTTTGCCAATACACATTTATGTTCCTCCATATTTACACTGCATGTTTCCTTTCTGTTTCATTTTTCACACATGCTTTCAAATAATGTTGGGGACAAAATCAGCTCATTCAAAAAGTGGTGGGGACATCAGAATCAGGATCAGGATCAGAATCAGAATCAGAATCAGGATCAGGATCAGGATCAGGATCAAGATCAAGATCAGAACCAGGATCAGGATCAGGATCAGGATCAGGATCAAGATCAGGATCAAGATCAGGATCAGAATCAGAATCAGGATCAAGATCAGGATCAGAATCAGGATCGGGATCGGGATCAGGATCAGGATCAAAATCAGGATCGGGATCAGGATCAGAAGGAGCTTTATTGCCAAGTAGTGTTTTACGTGGAATTTGCTGTGGTGATGAGGTGCTACAGGCAGACAAACATACAGTCAACATAAATAAATGTGGAAATATGTAAATACGGAGTGAACAAATGCAAGTTTATAAGAATAACAGAAGAGCAGAGAAACATAATCCAACTGTTTGCAGAGAAAGAACAAGGTGGCAGATATTTACATGTGCACTACTCCTGTTTGTGCTGCGCAGCCGTGCTGTGACGTGTTTTGCAGGTGTTATGAAAGCTCTCTGACAGAGAATAGTTGTTTATTTTGAGACGTGTATGAAGTGTTTGGTGGTTTGAGAGACTTTAGGAGGTGAGATTAACTGTTTGGCCGAGATGCATGCTGGTAATACAGACCGTGTGGACAGTTTTTAATCACTTTTGACCGCTGCAGTAAAAAAAAAAAATAAATAAATAAAAGGTCTGGACCACACGTCCTGCCGCGCATGCGCCCTGCCTCCGGTTCGCCTGATCTGACGTCACCGTCCTCTCCCGCGAGCTCCTCCCGGCGCAGAGACCAGGATGTGAGCGATGCTGCTGAAGCGGGCAGGAAACGGGCGCTGTTTTTATGGTTAACACGGCGGAATATAACCCGAGAGACTCGTGGACGGTTCGCTCTGCCGCTCACGGCTGAGGAGTAAGAAATAAATCACGGTAAGACTCAACGAGCCGGCGGCGTTTCCGCCGTCGGCCGCTAAGTTAGCCAACAGTAGCTAATAGCTGTCATGTTGACGCAGCGGAGCTAAAGCTGACGAAGAACAGCTGGGTGTGTTTACTCACCTGAAACTCGCACCTGACGCAGTATTTAAACGCGTAATAATGCTTTAACGGTCCGAAAGGCTGCTTTACGTTAACACAGCCCGGTTCCGTCTCATTTCCATGGTGACAGCAGAGACCCAGCTGACCAGGCGGCTCCCACATCGCGGCACGTGACCAACCCACACATTATTATTATTAATATTATTACTACAGGGAGTATAGTTGGACTGGATCAGTAACAGACCCCCCCTCTGTGGGACCAGGGACAGGGTTTCGGGACTACAGGAGGCTGGTTTTAAAGGGTTAACGCGTCACGAGGACAGCTGATCGATCATTTAACCATAACCCTGGTGATGTCAGTGTGATGTCATCAGGGTTGCCTCACCTGAGGAGAAGTGTGATTCAGAGTGAGCTGTCCTACCGGTCTTACCTGTGCACCTGGAGGCAGCCTCTCCTGCCGGTTCCACCTGCCCCACCTCGCCTGGACAGAACCAACAATTTAAAGAATCGTTATTTATTTTTCTCTTGAGCTGTTTTTAAATGATGAAATTCATCGTCAACAGATTTTCCTTCACGACGCCAAGTCTCCAGAATCCAATTACTTTCCTCCTTGAATGAATCGCAACCTTTGTTCTGTAACTTCAGTCCCTCGCTGAGATCTAATCAAAGTCCTGATTCCCAGGGTCACCGCAGTGATTTGAGTGGTGCCCCCCCCCCTCCCCGTGGAACAACACAAAAGACCCTTTCATGGTTCACAGGTCCGCATGCTTCAGTTGGACAGTCCCGTCCCGTTCTTAATGAATCGGTGACGTCGAGGTTCTTCTCGGTATGTGTAGCTGCAGTAATTGGATGAAGAGCAGCAGCTTGTTTCTTCATCATCATCATCATCAGCGCATCAGTCACGGCTTCTCAAGCTGTAACGCTGAATGCTGCTGTGGCCGTACGCTGATATTTTCATTTAAATGTTTTGTTATGAGTTAAAGCTGCGCAGATGTGTTAGCTTCATGGCTTTATGTTTTTATGATCATCTGAGACGTGAAAACATCAGATTTCCACAAACGCAGAGAATTAAAAAGCGTGCAGCAGCTGTGAAACCAGCAGCTGACAGAAAGCAGCCGCTCTGCTCTCTGTTTCCATCACCGTTAGTTTGTAGTTCAGTGACCTGACATCTGTTTGTAAAGGTCATATCCTGCCAACTAAAGCTCACAGCAGCGGCTCAACTAACGATTTTAATCATCTATATTTGTTTGGGGGGTTCGGCTCCTGTCAGTCAGCAGAATTTAATGTCCCCACGTCCTGATGGTCCAGTTAGTTCGGTCTGTACAACTTCATGTGTACTCGTCTGGGTTCTTTAGCAGAAAGTCAGCGCGTTGTGTCTGAGGCTGCACGATATTGGAAAAAATGAACATTGCGATACTTTTCTTTTCTGCGATGTATTGCAATATGAAAAAATACAGGAAGTTTCACCAGATTACTTCAGTTGCTCTATTGGAAAATAATCCTAAAAGAATTGATCACATGACCAAGAATAATATTGGGCTTGCTGGTTTGCAGAGGCTGCAGAGGCTGCAGAGGCTGCAGAGGCTGCAGAGGCTGCTCGTCACTCACTAGTTACAAACTGTGTATCCAGGAACTCTTAAATCAGAGTAAATGATGTCACATCTGACAAACGTGAAATGAGAACTGTCCAAGTTTTCATTTTGTATCCAGCTGCAAAATAAGTTGAGTTATTTGAGTTAATTTGACTTGTTTGGCATTGCTTTGTTCTGCAATAAGACTATCGCACAAGACCGGTGTTATATTGTGCAGCCTTACTCGTTTCAGCATCGTCATCACTACGTGCCCTTGTGCGATAACTTTTTTTGCTGCTGGACACAAAATGAAAACTTGCACGGTTCTCATTTTCTACAAGAGAAGTTTGTGTGATGTAACATCACTCACTGCATTAAAGCTCGAGGACGGATGGTTTGCACTCATTTATTTTTATGTTCTGTTCCTTTTCCCGACAAAATCACCATTTCAAACAGGATTTAAAGTCATCTGGTCAAACTTCCTTGTAAAAATATTGCTATGTCAGTTTTTTCGTGCAGCTCCAGTTGTGTCCTTGAGTCAGCTGATCCGGACCAGCTGATCCCGGACACGAACAGAACCTGACAGGAGTTGACCTGGACTTGCTCGTCTCGCAGGTTTGTGTCGGGCCCCTGAGAGGAGCGCAGCGGGATGAGCGGGGCCGCTCTGGGTATCGAGATCGTGGTGGTGTTTTTCCTGGCGCTGTTCCTGCTGCACCGGTATGGAGACTTCAAGAAGCAGCAGCGCATGGTGCTGTTCGGCACGCTGCTGGCCTGGTACCTGTGCTTCCTCATCGTCTTCATCTTACCTCTGGACGTCAGCACGGTCAGTACGCCACGCCCACACGCCGCTCAGGTTCACCGGACTCTGCAAAGGCCTGAACCCGTGTGTTCTCTCTCCTTACAGACCATCTACAACCAGTGTAAGGTAGACCACAAGGAGCACGCCGCTGTTCCCACCGTCACCCCGCTGCCGTCCAATCACACAGCAGCAAACGCCTCAGTCGCGCCCACTAAAAGGTGAGTGCGTCTCACGGCCCAGGAGCTGATGTAGGTCTCGTTATCAATGCAGATCCCAGATTACCGACAGTCTCGTCCTTCTGCTGTGTGATGTAGCACCGCTGCTCGTCCCCTGAAGCTTAACAAGCTAAATATCATAATTCCTGAACATGTTGTAACGTCAGAGGAGGTGCTCGTTATTTCAGGCGAGGAGGCTCCTCCTCTATAAAACACTGCAGGATGCCCTGACACAGCTGTTAGATTAGCTGCAGACGGTAAAACACGAGATAAAAATCTGCTTGGCCTCTCAAGGACGCAGAATATAAGGCAGTTTAATAAAGGAGACACTGACTGATCCACTTCAGTCTTTTCCTTCAGACCGGGGAAACTATAATAACCCGACTGTATATTTTCTGCTTACGTTGAATAAATGAATATCCAGCAGAAGTGTTTTCATGCAGCGTGAGAGCGAACAGGAAGAACTTAAATGTCGCGTCATCCTCTGCTCAGTCACTGCTACATGTTATGAAACAGCAGCAGAGCTTCCTAATCAATAATGAAAGTGGCGAGGGGAAGTTCTCTGAGTGTGTCAGGCTGCTGTGAGAATAAAGAGCCGGCATTTACAGGCAGAAACACGAAGACGGGAAGCTTCAGTCTCTGAGCCGTGTCTGACCTCCTCTCTGTCCTCTCTGTAGCAGCGCTCCGAAGCCCTGCTACAAGCCCTGGAGCTACATCCCCGATGGCATCATGCCGGTGTTCTGGAGGGTGGTGTACTGGACGTCCCAGTGTCTCACATGGTCCGTACGATAAACCCTCAACATGTTGTTGTTGTTACCAGCGTGGAGCTCTTACAGGTTGCTCTTGTGTTTCCAGGCTGCTGCTGCCCTTCATGCAGTCGTACGCTCGCTCTGGAGGCTTCTCCATCACTGGGAAAATCAAGACGGCGCTGATAGAGAATGCTATTTACTACGGGACCTACCTGCTCATCTTCGGCTCTCTGCTCATTTACGTGGCCGTTCATCCTGAGTGGCACCTCTCCTGGTGAGTCGACTGACGGCGTAACGTCTGATATATTCATATCTCTGCGTGATTCAGACGGTCAGGTGACCGATCGTCTCTTACCGACGTCCTGCCCA